CCATCACCAGGTCCTTCAGGATGGCGATCACCCCCTGCCAGAAAGGGAGCAGTAGTGGGCAAGACCAAAATATGTGGAATAACGTACCCGGGGCATTGTGGCATCTCCAGCATAAGGCCGAGACTTGAGGAAACATGGCATGGAGGACTGTAGGGACCCGATACCATCGGGAGGCAATTTTATAGCCCAGTTCTTGGGTCTTAGAAGCGATGGAGGAGTGATGGGCTAGATGAAGTATACAGTCTTTCTGAGCCGGTGTGAAGGTGGTGTTGAGGTCACTTTCCCATTTGGCCAAGAATGTCGGATAGGTCTCCGGGGGGTGAAATCATCATAGAGTATAAAGAGGTTATCGCATGCCGAGTGTGTGTCTCCTCCTTACAGATCTTTTCGAACGGGGTCAAGGGTCTGGAAAGCTGCCGGTGGTTAGGTATGGAGAGCAGAAAGTGCCGCAGTTGGAGGGTACTCCAATGATCCAGAGGGGGTTCTGTCAGACCACGTAGTTCGTTGGCTGATAGCCATCGGCCGGAAAGGATTAGGTCGCCGACTCGGAACTTGTTGGCTTCGCGGAGGCGACGAAAGCGAGATTCGTTGACACCGGGCGAGAAGTCGGGGTCGCCAATGACTGGGATCAAAGGTGATGGGAAGGGGGAGATCTCTGTGGAGCGGAATAACAACCTAGCTAACTGAAGTGTGGGTGCGACCATAGGGTGTGAGTGTGCGGAGGGCGGTAGGGGAGCGGAGAGCCAGGGGAGCCCAGCCAAGGTCGAACTTCCATGCCCACCCATTGCTTAGTTTTCCGATGGCAACACCAGTCCCATACGCGTGCGAGGTGGGTCGCCCTATAGTATTTGACCATATCCGGAAGCCCGATACCCCCTCTGTTTTTGGGGAGGGTAGTGGTACAGTAGAGAATTCGAGGGGGGGCGTTGGACCACAGAAAAGCTGTGAACATTTGGCGCAGGTGGCGGAAGAAAAGAGGTGGGATGCGAATCGGGAGAGCCTGAAATAGGTAAAGGACCTTGGGTAGAGTAGTCATCTTGAGAGCATTGCAGCGGCCAAACCAGGAGAGTAATAGTGAGTGCCAGGACAAAAGGTCCTGTTTGATCTTCTGAATCAGGGGGCCAAAGTTGAGCTCGTATAGGCGCGCAGGGTCCGCTGCTATAAGAGTGCCCAAGTAGGGCAGGGCGTCCGAGGCCCAGGCAAAGGGGAAAGAAGATCGTAGACGCGCTTCCTCCTTCTGAGGGAGGGAGACATTGAGGGTTGCCGATTTGGAGTAATTTACTTTAACCCCTTCGTGACGGGAGACGTACAGTGTACGTCCCGTCACAAAGTGGCTATATGACTGGCCACTGTACGTGCCGAGTTATATTAGCCTCTGTAATGCTGGTAACTGCTGATTCTCAGCAGTTCCATGAAGAAAAGAGGTGGGATGCGAATCGGGAGAGCCTGAAATAGGTAAAGGACCTTGGGTAGAGTAGTCATCTTGAGAGCATTGCAGCGGCCAAACCAGGAGAGAGATAGTGAGTGCCATGACAAAAGGTCCTGTTTGATCTTCTGAAGCAGGGGGGCGAAGTTGAGCTCGTATAGGCGCGCAGGGTCCGCCGCTATAAGAGTGCCCAAGTAGGGCAGGGTGTCCGAGGCCCAGGCAAAGGAGAAGGAGGACCGTAGACGTGCTACCTCCTCCTGAGGGAGGGAGACATTGAGGGCAGCCGATTTAGAGTAATTTACTTTAAAGTTTGAGAGGGAAGCGTAGCGGTCCATTTCCCGCATGAGAATTGGGAGGGATGATGAGGGATCGGAGATGAAGAAAATCAGGTAATCTGCGAAGGCTGCTACTCTATGCTCCCCTGAGCGTTTCAAAAGGCCCCGAAAGTCAGGGAGGGATCGCACATGGCAGAGGAACGGCTCGAGGGTAAGGATGAATATGAGCCGGAAGAGGGGGCATCCCTGCCTTGTGCCGTTAGAGATGGGGAAAAACTCATACCTGGACCCAGGCCTATGTGGCGAAGGGTGGCCTGGAGAAGGCGCCATTCCACCCTATCAAATGCCTTCTCTGCATCGGTGGATAACAGCAGCAAGGGTGACGGGGCGGAACGGGCATGGTGTATCACGTTAAGCACTCTGGAGGTGTTGTCCCTAGGCTCCCGTCCCGGGACGAAGCCCGTTTGGTCTATGTGCACAAGGCCAGGGATATGAGGGAGCAGCCTGTTGGCTAGGATCTTGGCAAATACCTTCAGGTCCAAATTAACGGGACGGTAGCTGCAGCATAGAGACGGGTCCTTACCTGGTTTGGGTATGACCGCTATGTGGGCCCTAAGGGAATCCCTGGGGAGAGAGGAACCCGTCAGAAGGGAGTGATATGCTTCCAGGAAATGGGGTGAGAGAATATGGGAAAAGGTTTTGTAGTATGGCAATGTATAGCCGTCAGGGCCAGGCGCTTTACCCATTTTGGCCTGCTTGAGCGCCACGTCGTATTCCTCTTGGGAGATCGGAATTTCCAGTTGGTCTCTTATCTCAGGTGATAGAGTGGGCATCCCCGATTCCCTAAGATACTGTGTCAGGGTCAAACTGTCAGGGGAATTGGGGAAAGTGCCAGATCCAGCTCCAAGATTGTACAACGCGCTGTAAAAGCACTGGAATTCCTTGGCCATGTCAGTATGAATGTCGTCTGTCGGGAGCCCCGCATGGCCAATGCCAAGCACCTACCCGGTTTATTAGAAAGCTTGTATAAGGTATGATGGCCTTTCAAAAGGCCTTGACGTACTTTGGAGAGGAGGAGGTCGTTGAGTTCCTTTCTGAGTAGGACCAACTCCTTAAGATGGGTAGCCGCCAACGATTTTTTGTGAGCGGCATCCAGAGTGTGAAGTCTGGCAAAGAGCTGGGCCACCCTCACTGCCCCCTCCCGTTTCCTACGTGCCGAATCAAGACACCCCGAACGACGCACTTATGCGCCTCCCAGATCACTGAGGGTGTCAGGGATTCGGAGGAGTTCTCTGAGAAGTAGGAACTGATCGTACGTTCTAGCTCAGAGCGTATCCCCGGGTCCTGTAATAATGACTCATTTAGACGCTACGAGGGGCTCTTGGGCACAAAAGGGAGGAGGTCTAGCGCCATGTGGACTGGGGCGTGGTCAGACAGCAGAATATCACCAATTGACGCGTCGACGACCAAGGATAGGTCCTTGTGTCGGAGAAAGAAATAGTCTAGGCGCGAATACGTGTTGTGGGAGACAGCAGGAAAGGTGGGATGAGGGAGTAGTGGAAGTGGAGCAAAAGAGGCAAGGTCAGGCGGAGGCGCCTACACCAAGACAAGGAAGACTACAATAGGCGGATAGCCTAGGCAATAGCGAAATTGTACCCTCCGATCTAGCGATGGGAGGGTACCACCTATTAGGGGTGTGTGGATAGAACTAAGCAAGTGAGAGGAACCTCGGGGAGGTGCAGTCACTTGTGCCAGACACAATAAATTAAATCAAAACATTACTTAGATTTAAAAAAAAGAAAGGAACATAACAGAACATAAGAAACCAGAAACCAGGAACCTATTAGCCCGTGGAGCCGGTACTTACACGGGGCAAGGTCCTCCAATGGACGGAGTGTCCCCGTCGCCAGTCCCCATGGCCCAGCAGCTCTGTATTCCCACCCGAATGGGGGAGCGAGTCAAGTCCGTGAGCAGGGAGTGGATGGGGCGGGCATTCCACCACCGCCCCACAGAGGGACGAGGGGAAGGCACACACACACACTGTGGCACAGGGGAGGGCGACCGAGCATCAGCAAGAGACCAAGCGTCTCAACCGGTCAGCATCCGGACAGCCCAGAGACATTGGTGGGAGCCGGTAAGTATGGTGACCAGGTGGAGATCCTAACGTCCCAGCCCCTCCAGAGACCGGCCACGACTGGGAGGGGGGGGGAGGAAGGAGTGTCCACCCCACCCCTCGGCACCAAACAGCCACGTCAGGGGCAGTGGGGTCACATCATTCTGCACAACAGTCTAAACATGGCATAAAGCGAGAAACAGTCAAAACAAAACAAGAGTAAAAACACCGGGCCACAGTAAGAGGTAGCCTGGGGGGCCCAAGGCTCACCTCCACCCACCCTCCCCCCCACACCAGGTGGACTGGGTTCCGTAACCTAGAAGAGAAGGGAGCAAAACATTAGTCACCTTGGCCGGGAGCTGGTCAGGTGAGTGCAGCTGGAATGTAGAGTCATCTGGCCAGACGATGAGGTGGAACGGGTGTCCCCAGCAATAGGTGGCTGAGGCAGAGCGGATGAGGTCCAACAGGGGACGCACCAGGCGTGTATGGCGGGAAAGATCCGGCATGATACGGACGATGGCGCCATCAAAATCAGAGGGGCCCTGCCGCCAAGCCTGTCTGATAATTTCCTCCTTCACGGCAAAGAAGTGCACCCTACATAGGACATCCCTGGGCGCGGAGGGCGAGCACCAGTGACCCTGTGGACCCGGTCAAGCTCCAAGGCCGCATCGTGGGGTTTACCCAGGAGGGTGTTAAGAACGGCTGCCACAGTGTCCCTGAGGTGGATGCCAGTTGTAGCCTCCGGGATGCCCCACAGGCGGAGGTTGTTCCTACGATTACGGTTTTCGGAATCGTCCAGACGGAGGTGCATGGATAGGAGGCGGGAATTAGTCAGCCTGGCGTCCTCTTCCAGGGCTTCCATCCTGGCTGACAGAGCGGTGGTGGCTGTCTCCACTGAAGTGACTGAAATAATCGTATTTATTTTATATTGTCGTTTCACTTTACCTACGATTTATAAGGTATTATTTTATGAGTTGTTTGGCAATGTTTTTAGGAGTGACATTTACATTTTGTTTTCTGATTTCTGTTACAAAGCTTCCCAATTGTTGTGTAATCTGACCTTGTTGAAAGTATATTCAAGTTTTCACTGTGATTTGACACTGTTCAAAGTATTATACTATTATTATTATTCGTTTTATTATTACATAATCAAACTTAAAAGATCTAAAACAATTCACCTTTTTAGGTAACTCCTTCCTCCAAAATTGTTGGAGACTTGGCACAATTTATGGTACACAACGGACTCTCACGTGAACAAGTGGAGACTATGGCAGATGAATTATCCTTCCCATTGTCTGTGGTCGAATATTTGCAGGGCTATGTTGGAATTCCTTATGGTGGCTTTCCAGAACCTTTACGATTCAAGGTAAATGCTTCATTTAGTTTATATGAAACATTTAGCCATTACATTTTATAATAACTTAGGTCATCTAAAACTTTTAATAAAAGCAATGTACAGTATGTATTAACCCATTTATCTGACTATACTAAACTGATGAAAATGTTTCTTGGATTGGCTTATGTTGCTTGACTGCTGTTTACACAATGATAGTAAACCAAAAGCATTGAGTCATGTAGCAATTTCTGAAAACAGTCTAAAAAAAATAGTCTGCCGATGCCTCAAATGCTTGGGTTCCCTCTGCCCTTGGACTTGCATCACACACACATACCGTATATATATCTATATCTATATATATATAT